TGAAAAGATGCCATCGGCCTTTTTTGGGGCGGTGGTAATTTGCCAAATACCCCCATAAGTTGAGATGTATTTCAAAATGTCCCTGAAAGATCTCGATATAGTGGAATGGCCTTTTGGGCTGACATCTTTGTGTTATGCCCCTGTCAGCCGCGCGTGCAAATTCGCAATGTCAGCCTCCCCGTTTGGGCCTTGGCCTTTTGCAATTGCACCTACAAAAAGTTGGCAACTACCGGGGCATTTTGCAAAGTTGGACGGTGTCCGATAGGGGTACATTGCAAAGATGGGGTCCAACCGATGTCCGGGGTGTGTCGCAAAATGTTTTTGTCATCGTCCTTCGCCGCAGCGTGGCTGCGGCAGGTCCACTTGTTGCTTATAAAAATTGTAGAATGCGACCGCACAAATGCATCCGTAGGACTCGATCAGACTACTAGCCTTAAACTTACGTAATTTGGCGGTCCCCCCTTCGGGCAAAGTGTGTTTGACCACTTTTCGGTCCCAGTCAAACTGGGGCTGTGCAACCGAGAGGTAGTACATACCTAATAGGATATCTATAGGGAGATCATCGCTGACTAGGAACGAGACACGATGCCTCAATTCCCCTCCCGCGTACGAGAAAAGACACTCAATGTCTTTAAGGTAGTCAGTGACTACCATGCGCTGTTTGTTTGCACAACTCGACTCCACAAGTCGACTCAGGCGTTGCACTTGCCCCTGTAAGCGCAACCTCTCAACGGACGCGCGACTAATAAAATTCCGCGTCGAGCAGGTGTCATAATAGGCCCCGGCCTTGCGGCCGTCGATGACTACCTCGCCGACGAACAGCTCACCCTTAGGGGCTTTAGCCATGGCCGTCCAAGAAGCTAGCGGGTCCGATCTAGACCACTCCTCCTCTAGCTTCTCTAAGGACTCAAACACATTTAGCGAACAGAGGATCGCTGGGTCTGAATGTGTTTGTGGGACGGCAACAAAGTCAGTAGCTTGGGCCATCTCTCGAGATGGTGAGGGTGTGTCCACCACCTCAACCCTAGCAGGAACAACTACTATTCCTACTGACCCGACGTATTTCCCGGAGCAGTTCCAGAACTACTGGCAACATTGCTACCTACGGGAGCGGAGGATCCCAACACCTGCCCCATCACAGGCGGGATTTTTTCCGTCACCTTCTTATTGCGGCACTTGAAATGGTTATGGCCATATTGACCACAATGTATACAGGCCCGCCTGGTGTACCGGTCTCTCCACACGTCCTCTGTGAGACCTGCTTTCTCCCATGGAGGAGCGTTGGGGTCAACTTGACTCCTAGACCAGGAGCCTCCTCGGCGTCTACCGGTCGCCTTACCTTTTTGCACTGTGGCAGCGACTACTCCACCCCCTGAAGGTTCTACGCTACCCGCCTCTGAACCTACTCCTTCCTGGAAGTTGTCGTCCCATTGTTGTCGACGAACATAATACGACCCTTCGCCGTCCAGTTGGGGGGCAGTGACTTCTTCCCTCCATCCGTCGTGGGTTGGTGCCCATGCCCTATCTTAGCATCCAGGTCTAGGGCCTTCTTGCTAAACGAGGGGAAGTTGTGTATATTGATGTTTGCCTCGCCTGCCAACTGATTCGTGAGTGGCATAGGGAGATATCTCAGGTAAGTGGTTAGCAAGACATGGGGGTCATAGCGCACTCCAGGTACACAGATCAGACGCTCTACTGCGTCTGTGGCATCCCTTACTGACTTGAACGGTCTATTGCTCAGAGTCAAGATCGCGTCAGTGGCCTTTTGGGCCTTGTGAGGATCATGCCACCTCTCCTCCACCATCTTCAGAAAGTCTCCCAGTTTCTGGTTGACTGCCCAAGCGCGGAAGTCATGTCCGTACCCCTGAAGTTGCACTATCCCGCTTAACCATCTTGCTGCACTCCCCTCAAGATAGGAGGCAGCCACAAGCACTTCCTCGTGCGGCAAGGTCAACTTGCACTTCACGTAGACTGGCACTGACCTCGACCACGTGTCAAGGTCTTCGCCCCTCTTGTCCCCGGACAAGGGTTTAGGTGAGGCAATGGTCGTCTTGGGTACCCACTGACCTTGTCCCGGTACCTGTCCCACTCCAGGCTGTGGACCCTGGGGCGCAGATTGCTGCACTAGCTGCTGTTGGGGTTGTGTGCCCTGCGGCTGTGCCGGCTGTGAGACAACAGGCTGCCCAGTCATGGCAACTTGCGACGGAGGTTGGGAATACACTGACTGTACAGGAACCTGTACACTAGGACCTGCTGAGAACCCTCATATTAGTGGCATACCTAGGGAAACGGCTTGGACCGACGCTGGAGAGACATGTGGGGATACCCCCCCCCCTCCGTCATCGGTAGGATGAAAGGAGGAGGCTGTACCACAGGCCAGGCACCAGGCCGTGATGGTGATGGTGTTGCCTGAGCTCGCCCGACCAGCACGGCCAGGCTCTGCTGGATGTCCTGTAAGAGAGTCGTCTGATGGTCCTGCATCTCCACTACATCTAGCAGGACTGCATGCAGGGTCCTCACATCACCATCTATGTTTGTCAGGTCCATCGCCTCTAACTCACTAACGTCCATTTGTCTCCGCTGCATCCTTGATCTTCTTCTGACATTCATTCTTTCTTCGCCTTTATCTCTCCTAAAGCCTTCTGTAGCTGCGCCTCGCGAAGTGCTGCTTGCTGTATGGCGACCTCTTCAGGGGTCAACACTATTGGCTGGCTTGCCAGAATGCCAGTGGACTGACTCAGGGTCTGTGCAATCGTTGACCCTACGGTCCTTGAACTGCTGGCCTGGGAACTCTGCTGCGCAGCAGTTGCCATGGCTGCTGAAGCAGCGGCTTCGCTTGCGAACGCCCTGCCGGCCTCTGCTGCCCTAGCTCTCCGCTGCTGCTGCTGTCTCTCCCTAAGCTGGCGGAACAGTAACCTGTCACCCTCGGGTCCTAATGCCACGTGGGCTATCGGGCGTCTATGCGATCGCAAGATCCTGTCGCCCTCTCTAGTGGTCTCCCTATCGCTCATAAGCTACAAAACTATACACAATCTGCACTAGTTCACACTCGATGCCTACCACAGCGTT